ATTTAATCGTACCATGTATTCATGGTTTGCTCCACACCTTACATTACTCGCTTCTTCCCCAGATTCTAAATTCGTCAGGAACTTTGGGATTTCTGTTGTCCTTTAAAATTTCATTGAAAAAGGTTACCTTAGAGTTATTATCATGAAGTTCTGACTACCAGCAGTAGGAAGTGCCCATAAAACTTCACCTTTTCATAGCAGGAAGCACCCATAACAATTCATCTTTGCATAGTTCACAAATTAAGACAAGTAAAAAAACTTGAAGCTTTTATCCTTGCACAAGGTAACTTCTATAGAACTAGTGTCTGGAGTGGTTGCTATGTAACTGTATAGCACACTCCAGTTTTAAAATATTCCTACCTTCTCTTTGGAGATGGTGATCTGGACTTCGAGCGACTATTAAAAAAACCAAAACAAAACACAAACAAAAAAACCCACAATGTGGTAAACTTGTATATACTCAGTAACCACTTTTGACCATTTAAAAACACTAAGAACAGTTTTATGTTGTTAAATACATGAAAAGACACCACCCTTAATGCTTCTGATAGCAAGTATACCAAATTAATTTAAGCAAGAAGCGGCACTTGAGAAGGAAAAATGCCGAAAGCTGGAGCCCTCAGGGAAAAAAGCAACACACAGCTTCAAAGCAGCTATAAAATGATCACAGTAATCCTGCAAAGCAGGAGCAGTGAATCAAGTAGAGGAGAGTCAGGAAGACTTAGAACTACAGACAGTTGAGAACAAAGGTAAGGAAAGATATGCCCCAAATTCTGTCAAAAATACTTTTTGTCACAATCATGGGTTAAACAAAAGCCTGTATCCACAATCCTTTTGGAAGAATTGCCTATTGTCCCACAAAAATCAGCTATAAAAAAGAATACATAAAAATAATGTATGAAGAATATTTAAAATTGGCTATTAAAAAAACCCAAACAACAACAACAAAAAAAACCCCACCACCCTCTTCCACATGTAACTGAAATACTGGTCCAAGCAGAGATTTTGAATCATGACCAAAAAAAAAAAAAAAAAATTACTAAGTGCTACTTGTATTTATACGCTCACCTTTTAGCAGGTAAGCCAGATTTAGATCTACCATGGGACCCAGACCTACAATAGGAGAAAAATAAAGCTCAGCAAAGCAGCCAGTGGCATGCACATACAATGAAAGTTAGCTAAACCAGCAACAGCAAATTCGTACTACATCACAAACCAGAGCATCACAACCACAGCATCACAAACCAGAGAGGAAGGCTCTGGTGCTGCAGGCTTTTGTGACATTTCAGGAGAATCCTTTAGCTCTTATTCCAGGGACCCCACTTATCAGAAGACAAGAGTACAAGCACAAGAAGCTCCCCAGCAAAGCTTCAGCTACCACTTTCAGAAAACAGAAGACCTCGTACAAGGCTCCCAGAATTTCTCCCCACCTGCATACTTGCATACATAAAGGGAAGAATAGTTTCAAATGTCATCTTAGAAAATCTTTTATTGCACATTAAGAGCCTGGAATCAGTCACAGGTAAGCATGTGTGCTGAAGAGCTGATGCATTCTTCAGATCAAGTTCCCAGTGCCACTTTTATTCAAGTATAATACAGCTTTTTTCATCGGTTATCCCAATGACAACAGCATTTCAGTTTTCGGTATCTGGCTACTAATGTGTAAACTATTTCCAGTTCATCTTACGAATTAAAATCTACTCAAACAGCGAGACTTTCCTCCCATATTTATCACATTACTTTACCAAGTCAAGTATTTGTTGTTAGTTAGACAGCATATGTCCTCCTAGAGTGTCAAAATATGCACGTGGTACTACTGAACATCAGAAAGCCCAGTGTTCAAGATAGTTAATTGACTTGGCCAAAAAAGTAAGAAACTTTTATTCTATTTCTGCTCAGAACTGTTCTTAAAGCGTAATCAAGATTCACCTTTACCTGGCCTAGTAACTCATAAAAATACTATGTGGACACTGCTGTCAGAAGTTAAACAAAGAGTTACATGCCACTCCTTTGAAGCTTTCCTGGTCACTATGTTGAGCCACCCTCTGTCACAGTCTCTAACACTATAACCAGTAATTCTTACTGTATCACAGTTACACAGGACAGAGTTGCCCAGAACTACCCAGAACTTCTATTCTGGAGCATGAGCATGACTTCCTTTGGTAAGAAATGCAGTAAGGCAACACACAGGAGCATCATCTTACTACAAGAACTGCTGGCAAACCCTCCTTCCAAGAGGCACAGCACAAAGCAGGACTGCAGATCAAAAGCTCCAGAAGCAGCACCAGTTACATACTAGTGTTTTGCTGTATTAGCAGAGCACCAGCACTGGCTGGAGTTTTCACAAATCCTTCCATAACTCCAGTCCTGAACTACCACTTCTCACTGCTGCAGCTACAGACCTATGCAGAGTCAGCACTCCTCAAAAATTTCAACACAAGTATCAAGTCTTTCATGCAGGAGCATGACTGTCCCAGAACTAGAAATCACCAAGCAACATCAGCAGTATCCAGACTCTTCCACAGTAGCAGCATGCAATTTGAGCCTGGCTAGTCATCTCCTGCATTACAGGCCTGTATGAGTAATAACTCAGGACAGCTCTAGTACTAATCATCATCATCCCCTTAAAGGCTCAATGTGCAAGTCCTAAAGTAGCAGGCAGATCCTAAAGAACATTTCTCTTCCCCCATTCTAATGCAAAACAAAAGATAACTTCTTCCAACTTACCAGCTCTCATGTCCATCACATTTTTATCCTACTCTTTCATCCTTCTTCCAACTAAGACTTACCACAAAGGACAGAGGAAAATAATGCAGGAGTATTTACTCTATACCCCTTTTCCTCAACTTCCATTACAGCACAGGAAACATCCAGATCCCCCAAACCAGGGCTACATGTCAGAGAAGTCCTTCAAAACACTGCCTGGGGCATTAGGACTCATGGTCCTGTTCATTCAGCCCTCCAAATTGCTGAAGTCAAGTATCCTACCCCACGTAATACAGTTCTTAGCACTACAGCAATTTAATTTGATCTAACTCTCAGAATTGGAACTGACAAAGCTGAACAGCTGTAAGCAAGAGTTCAGTCAACAGTGGCAACCTTCTCATAGTTTCCCCCCGCCAGCATTTGGGATTTACAAAAAAACATACCAAGAAAAACCTAAGCAGCGTTTCCTGCAGGACGCAAGATCAAAGCATTCTCTAAATGCATAGGCATTAACTAGTTTTCAAAATTTCTCTCGAGAGACCTTAAATCATATATATGCTTTGTTTATGGCTACATATACATATATAGTAGCCACAGACCAAAAAAATTTCACATTTATTACAAGAAATTGACAACTACTTTAGTCTGTTAAAAGGCATAAATTATTAACCTTAAGTGCAAATACTGCTATGCTGCACAACCTTCTAACTCCTTCCAGACAACCTCCAAACCCCCCCAGAAAAGAAAAAAAAAAACCCCCAACCCACCCCCCCCACACCAACACACACAAAAAAAACCCACCCAACCCCCCAAAAAACCCAAACCCCAAAACTATAATCGATTTGAATTGGAACAAGTATCTTACCTGCTTCGAGGCCATACAACAGACCGGGACCTTGAGCGTGATCTGGACCTAGATCTAGAAAAAAAAGCAGTGAAAGCTCAACTACTACAACAGGATTCATACAGCTGACATAGTATTCTTTGATTTTTACGATACTAACCTCAGAGAATTTTGTTTGAACTATTGGTTTTGCAGAAGTAACTTTTATTGTTACAAAGCTGTAGTACATTTAACAAGTACTACCATCCACATAACAAATCCCACTGCCCTAGTCGACTAAGCATAATTACTCCCTGTATCCTTGAAGTAGGAAACCTTAACCATATATCAAGGCTGGAATTTTGGTGCAGTATAGAAGAAAAGCTCAGAAACAACAGTTCCAAAATTACATGCTTAAGTTTTCAACTTCAAATAAAGCATTCAGATTAGCTCTCAAGGATGTAACATAAAGGCTTCTGCAAACACACAGACTGCAAAATACAAACTTAATGTTAACTCCAACAGTTATGTGCCCTTCAACAAGGTTGTGGGCTTAACAGAAAACACATACCTTGATCTCCTTAAAGAACCAGACCGAGATCTGCGGGGTGAAAATGATCTATACCTACGAGGAGAGATTGACCTGGACCTGCGGTAGGAAGCTGACCTTGATCTACAACACGAAGGGAAAAACCACCAAAATTACTGCAAGGTACCGTTCACAAGGACTACAGAAAGGGGTGGAGCAGAAGAAGGAGTAAGAAAAAGAATGAAAACACAACAGACAGAACCCTACCTCCTACCACGACTCCGACTGCGTGACCGAGAATACCTTCTCCCTCGGGACCGTGAACGGGATCTAGACCGGGACCTGGTTTTAGGTTAGACAAAACAGGTGTCAGGAAATAGCTGCAGCAATCAGCGCACCTGAGGCCCTGCTGAAGTCAAAACTGATTTCAGACAACTAAAAAGAGAAAAAAAAAAAGCCACAAAAAACCAAAAACCAAAACACCAAACCAAACCAACAAAAACACACCACTAGCATCTGCAGTTGGAAAAATCTCTGGGCCTACTTGTCTTCAGCATTTTACTACCTAGAAAAATGTTAAAAGCTGAATTACATTGCAGAATTACATTAGAATAGAAAACACTGTAATGCGTATTTAAAATAAACCTTGCAAGTTTGCAGGTCGACCCTCTTTGGCCCAAGGTCTAGCAGATCTAGACGATCTAGAAGTATCTATAGCCGATCGCTGCATCTAGGTGTTCTCTTCAATCTAACGACGATCAAACTGACAGCCCAATGAGCCAGGGTGAGGCTTGATTGACGCAAGAAGATTTTTCTAGGTGGGAATGTGGTCAATCTGGTGTTCCTCTTTCTAAACCGGAGGGGGGCCCCAATTGAAAGCCAAATTTACTGTTACGGCGATCACCGTCTCAAATTTTCTGCCCTTAAAGAATAAGGTGAAGCTACGTGTAGATGGCTCGAGGGGATCTGGCCTCTTATGCTGATCACCTCAAGGTCTAGGAGGATCTTAAGTGTCGGATTTGCAAGGCGCCTCAGCATGAAATCTTAAGGCTCGTGACATTCTGAATCAAGGCGACTGACTCAAACGAAGAAACCTGAAAGGTTTTGACCAGGTTGATTATTAAAATATTAACAGTTTATATGTATTAGCAAAAAAAAAATTGTGATATACACCTGTTGACTTACAACATTAAGAGTTAAAAATGGCGTAACATTCTCTCTAACAAGAGCTACACAAAAGTGCACTGGCGAAGCAACCCAGCCACTCTGGCCCCACACGTACCTGCTCCTTCTTCGGCGACTATAGCGGTGACAATCATAAGCATAGTGGCCTTTCTCACCACACTCATAGCATCTATCATTAGGGTCAAAGGGGCGCCGTGCAGGAGGCCTGTCGTAACGGGAGCGACGAGGCATGCCTGTTGACACTTCCACTCTAACCCTGGAGCCACATATTATCCTGCAAGATATACTACGTATTAAGCACTTAATACTTTTCTCCCCTGTACTTGTTACACACAGAACAGATATCGAAGATTGGTGCAGGCTCAGGAGGCCAGTAACCGCAGCCAGAGCGGTCAAGGAGGTTTTAGGCATGCACATACTTCCCATCGAGACCAAGCACAGCATCTTCAGCATCCCTCGGGTCTTCAAACTCCACGAACGCAAACCCCGGCGGGTTCCTCGCGATCCACACAGTTCTCAGGGGCCCGTAGTAGCTGAAGGCTCTCTCCAGCTCGCCTTTGCCCGCGCCCGTGCCCAGGTTGCCCACGTACACCTTGGTCTCTGCTGGGAGCGAAGCCGGTGTCAG